CATTTCATTAAATTTAATTGTCTTTCTGTAACTCTTTGAAATCCCACACATAAAATCGAATGTTTATGCTACACATGCAAGGCGTTCCTTTGGTTGCTCCTAACTCAGAAGGAATTTTTATATTTTAACAAAATACATGAGGAGGGCTTGATTTGTCCACAGGAGTAATGTCCAAAGAGACTAAAAGATCAAACTGCAAGCTGCAGACACTCTCCCCTTTAAACCCGGGGCTAGGAAAAAGTTAATCATTGGACATTTTTATTTCTTAGTAAACAAGTAGTAACTGCCATCTTCCTTAGAAGAGTAAAAATGGAAAGTAATATGGGTGTACATATTTTTGATTTTTAATTAAAACATGCTTATCAGAGACAGACCTTGCACTTTTGGATATTTTCCAATGCAACCACTGCATTGGTTTATACCAATTTAACCTCAGAATGGCTGATACATCCTAATATGTATCTAGAACACGCTTACTGAAACTTTTGAAATTTACAAAATTGAATACAAAAGTTTATAGCCAACAAAACTGTGGCTAAATTCAAACCAACTACTCATTTCCAAATGGGAAAAGTTACTTTACTGAACCAAAAGGAACAGTACAAATGATAGTAACAAAAAATCATTATTTAAGCAAGCATTCACCAAGCATAAGTTGAAAGCAATACAATAATTTAGGGCTGCTATGTGGCATTTTAAAATTATTGCAAAAAAGTAGCAAATTTAACTTTTGGAGGAATTCATTATGCAACATGATATATGTCAATGTTCTTCTAAAAAAATAAGTATAGGTGACAATGCCAAGGCTATCTCCAGATTTTCCTCCCACTCTGGCAACTGTAAAGTATGCAACCCACATAAGTCATCTCCAATAGGAGACAGACAGACATCTGGACACCCCCACGTTGAGCCCATATTTTCAGATCCTATGCAGTGACAACACAATTTCTATGTGCTTATCCTAAATTACTTGTACTGTAGCACTACCAAATCACTGAAGGCATCAAAAAACAAACAAAACAAAACACCTCAGTATGTCAAAGTAAGGTATAGATCGAAATCCATCTGTGAAAATACTAGGTTCTATAATCACAAACAACTACATTAGGCCTGTCTATTTTGACTCCATAATAAGTCTATCCTTTGGATTGGACTAAGAATCTGATGGATATGTATTACATATATATTTGTAGAGTTAAGGGTTAAGGGACTCCATGTCATTTATCTGAGAAAGGCCTTCCATGCCTGTTGGAAGCTAGGCCATTACTGCACCACCATTGTAAATTTTTTAAAAAATGCAACAGAATTATTCAGGATCCCAAAACAGAAGATGCATTGAGGCTATTCTGACAGAAAAGGCAATGAGGTTATTTTGACCTTGATTAAAATTTGAGTGATTCAACATTTATAAATCACACACAGCAAATACCACAGTCTTTAATTCATTGTCTCCCTTAGGTCTGCATTCCAGATTTGTGATGTTCTGAAGCAAACCCTTAAAGAAAAAATAAAATCACACATTCCTAAATTCTCTCTCTTTGGCAGAATACTGATCTTTGCCTACAATTAAATAAAGAAGACTAGACTATTAAAACAGAATAATCAAGATTTTGACTTCATAGTCAAGACTGCTCTCACAAAAATCTAAAAAAATAATATATATATGCTCTACTAGATAGCTTTAGGAATCCTTTATTTTTACATCCCTGCTTGTCAGCTGGAAACAATATGGATCCTGCAGCTTTTCCTGGTGAGATATCTACATCTCTAGAATGCTTTACCCCCCTTTCCTTGACCAACAGATTATTTTCTTAGAATCAGAAATAAAAACCCCATTTGTTTTATAGGAGTGCTGTTTTGTTTTTAAACAAAGCTCCCCCTCCCCCTTCTTTGTTTGAAACATACTGCACTTTTAGGCAATATCCATTGTAAAATGACACCAAAAATTATACTAGAAGCTGATAAAGCCATCTTAAAAAAAAAAAAACTCACTGGGAGAATGCAATTTTAACAAACATTAATACAGATCAATGCAGACTGCAACAGTTCACACCCTGCAAAATGTGGCCTATTCAATTCTTATCACTGCATACAGAGGAAAAAGCCAGTGGGATTTCATATTCTATGCACATTCATCCTTACATTTATCTACTCTTATCAATATTTTCATATGGATAATTACTCCATCTTAAGAATACTATTAGTAAGGCATAACATTACTATCTAAAAATAGGTTTTTATTGTTTTTTTTAAAACGAGGAAACATTTACCCTTGGCTCCATGCTACACCAAATTCACAGATCAGAAACCTAGAACTCTAGATCAAATCCACATTCTTTGTAAGGAAAAATGTTAGTATTGCAGATTAAAACACAAACGCCTTACCTATGAGCTGCATTTTCTCTCAAATGAAAAATGGTTATATATCCCTTCTACCTAATCTGCCCAGTGCCTGGACATATTTCATTCTGACTTCCAAATATTTGCTTTCTTTCTCTCTTACTGCACGACATCCGCAGTTATACAGCATTACTTACATTCTCTTCCATATAAAAATCAGACATTACATGAAAGGAAAAGAAAGAGACAGCCCTTTTCAAAGCATCTGGCAAGCCTCACTGGCAGGCTGCCAAGCCTCTGCTAAATCTTCCTCTCTTTCCTGAGCATGCTCACTTGAAACCAACAGTATGTTACTATGGCAACACTGTAGGCAGCCTGCCTCTAAGTATGAACAGCCATTCTGTTTTCAGTGTGACAAAACCACATACTACAGGGGAAGTGAAAGGGAAACGATATTTGACCTTCTTTAAAAACAGAAAGTTTACTTTCTTTTTCTGTATAATGAATCGCAGGTTTCTATGTATGATAACACAAACTTACAAAGAAATATTTTCTTTGGAAGTTAATCTGATTCTGTAAGATTTAAAACCATATAAAAAATTAAAGGAAATTCCATAAATTCATTTTTGATGACATAAGGACTGATGATTCTTTATAGAAACTGAGGTAACTGCATCATTTTATCAATACTTCTATGACAAAGACAATTTGTATGATGAAATGAATTTAAGGTGTATTAAAACAGATAACATTACCATTCCATAATTTAAAAATATCATCTAAAGAAAGTTTTACTGAAATATTATCTACAAAGATAATTAGCATAATTTTCCAAGGTTCTTAGATTATTAGCAAATAATTATAAAAAGGCACCATTCATCTACCTATAGCTTGGTTCTACTGGGCCAGATATTTTTATTTTGACATTTTAATACCTTCTCTGACTGAAAGTATTAATTATTTAAGAGGATCTTGGATTTTAGAAGCATGTTACATTTTAAATCAGCATTATTATTCAGACATGCATCAAATTTTCATTTCATTCCCCTATTCTAGAATATCTTAATTTGAAAAACCTTGCAGTGTAGACATACCTGAAGATAGCTAATGTGATGCTAATATTTAAGAAGGGCTTTAGAGGTCAGTCATCCTGGCAATTAAAGACTGGTATGTCTAATGTCAATATCAGGGAAATTAGTTGAAACTATAGTAAGAATAGAATTATCAGACACATAGATGAACATAACTTGTTTGGGGGAAAGCCAACATGGATTCTGTCATGGGAAATCATGCTTTACTAGAGTTCTCTGAGGGAGGTCAGCAAACATGTGGACAAGGGGCAATCCAGTGGATACAGAATACTTAGATTTCCAGAAAGCCTTTGACAAGGTCCCTCACCAAAGGCTCTTAAATAAAGGAAGCTGTCATGAGATGAGAGAGAAGGCCCTTTCATAGATTGAGAACTGGTTAAAAGACAGGAAACAAAGGGTAGGAATAAATGGTAAGTTTACAGAATGAGAGAGGTAACTAGTGATGGCCCCCAAGAGTCTGACCTGGAACCAATCCTATTCAACTTATTTATAAATGATCTGGAGAAAGGGGTAAACAGTGAGGTGGCAAACTTTGCAGATGACACTAAATGGCTCAAGAAAGTTAAGACCAAAGCAGACCGTGAAGAGCTTCAAAAAGATCTCACCAACTAAGTAACTGGGCAACAAAATGGCAAATGAAATTTAATGTTGATAAATGTAAAGTAATGCACACTGTAAAAAATAATCCCAACTATACATACAATATGATGGGGACTAATTTAACTACAACTACTAAAGAGAAAGATCTTGGAGTCATTGTGAATAGTTCTCTGAAAACATCCACTCAATGTTGAGCGGCAATCAAAAAAGCAAACAGAATGTTAGGAATCATTAAAAAAGGGATAGAGAATAAGACAGAAATCATCTTATTGCCTCTATATAAAATCATGGTACGCCCACATCTTGAATACTACATACAGATGTGGTTGCTGTGTCTCAAAAAAATATATATTGGCATTTAAAAGATTCAGAGAAGGACAACAAAAATGATTAGGGGTTTGGAACAGGTCCCAGATGAAGAGAGATTAAAAAGACTTGGATTTTTCAGCTTAGAAAAGAGGAAACTAAGGGGGGCAACTATGATAGAGGTCTATAAAATCATGACTGGTGTGGAAAAAGTGAATAAGGAAAAGTTATTTACTTGTTCCCCTAATATAAAAGAACTAGAGCTCACCAAATGAAATTAATAGGTAGCAGGCTAAAAACAAACAAAAGGAAGTTTTTCTTCACTCAGCACACAGTCAACCTGGGGAACTCTTCTGTCAAAGGATGTTGTGAAGACTGAGGCGTTAATAGCGCTCAAAAAAGAACTAGATAAATTCATGGAGGTTAGGTCCATCCATGGCTATTAGCCAGGAGGGGTAGGAATGGTTTCCTTACCTCCGTTTGTCTGGAAATGGATGACAGGAGAGGAATCACATGATGATTACCTGTTGTGTTCACTCCCTCTGGGGCATTTGGCATTGACCATTGTCTGCAGACTGGACTACATGGATCTTTGGTCTGACCCAGTAAGGCCATTCTTATGTTCTAATTGTATAATTGTTTCTAATATAAAAATAGACTTACCACTACTTCTTCCTCTTTTTCTTCCACTTTGTCGTCTTCTTCTTCCTCTTCTTCTTCATCATCACTTTCTGCAGCAGCTCCATCTTCCTCATCGCTGCTGGAGGACTCCAAGATTTCACTCATGTCCATTTTCCAGTTATCAGGAACAGCTTTTGTGTTTAAGAAAATGCTTGCTTCCTTTAACCCTACAGAGGAAAATGCCCCGTATTCACTGATTCAAGTTACTAAGATTCAAACATATGTAAATTACAAAATATTCTTAATTTTTCTTCTTTTTTCAAATGATAATGAAGAGGGGAGGAGAACAATTCGATTTTGAATGTTAATAGGTTGTGAAAAGTTCATGCTTCATTTTAAACGCTCATTTAACCCCCACACAAAAACTTAGGATGAAGTTACGGTTGCAAGCACGTCTTCATAGTATGAGCACATTTTAGCTTTCAGGAATGCTAGATTATAAATCTCAATATTGAAAATCCATCATTTAGAGTTAATTTAGGTACTGTTTTGACAATTTTTCATTATTGCCACATATCCATGACAGAAGGGGAACCAGGACAGCTGTGAGATTGGGTTGAGAGATCCAACCACCCCCTTCCCCCCCGCCCCCGCACCACGTGTGGGAACTCAAAGCTCCAGAGTCCTTCCTGCCACCCATGGAGGTGAACAGCTCTAGTGGTTCCCCCTGCCACCCACAATGGCTGGGAGCTCCAGGGTCTCTCCTGCAGCATATATCAAATGGGAGCTCTGGGGGTGTCTTCTCCCACTTAGAGAAGATGGGAGCAGCAGAGAACTCCCTTCTTGCTGCCAGCAGAGGTGGTAAGCTGCAGGGAACTCCTACCAACCTCTACTTTCATGGGCAAGAGGGATTCTTGCAGCTCTCATCTGGTGCTTGCTGAAATCATGAAGGTCTTTGAAAGCCATGGATTCCATGACTTGCATCACTGAATCACATCCTTAGTGATAATAAAGTAGAAGTTTCCTTATTCCCCTCAGAGCATCCTTAAGGGGTTGAGTTAAGGCAATATGATTGTACAGCCGCTCCCCGAGTTGCGAACGGTCGACTTACGACCGTTCGCACTTTCGACCAAAGCTCCCATGGAGCGGTTGTAAAGGCAGTCCCCGAGTTACGAACGCGACCCACGCTTACGAACAGCGCGGTCGCGTGTAACTCAATGGGGTCCGAGTTACGAACAGATCAAGTTACGGCCAAGTGTTTGGTCCGTAACTTGGAGAGAGGCTGTATTTCTCATTTGGTTTCTAGTATTTAGATTTTTTGTTTCAAACTCTTCAAGTTATTAAAGCAATGCATATCTACACCCGCTGATAGATATCCATGCTATCATTTTAGGGTTTGATTTATACATATTCCTTCCCCCCCTCCCAAGGAGGCTTTGAGAACGTACTGAAGTGGAGATTCACCCATGCCCTCCAGACTTCCTGAGACTCACTAACATATGCCTTCTCCACACTCACTAATGCTTTCCTAATGCAGCCAGCCTCCTGCAGATCTTTGGGAGGAGGATTTCATCTGGTAACCCACATCAGTGGCCCAGTAAGTCTTTCTGGACTTAATTTTTGTGAGCACCTATGAGACCTAGGAATTTGGCAGGAAGTGCCAACTTGCTTCCAACTCCACCGCAGACTTCACGTGTAATCCTGGGCATGTCACTTAATCTCTCTGTGTCTTAGTTCCCTGACAGTAAAAATAAAGGCGTTTACAAGGATAAATACATTAAAGATTGTGATACTATTGTATCAGATACTACAGTACTCAGATATTATTGTAGTGGGAGCCATACAAATACCTAAAGTAGACAGGCAGGAATACCAATGACCAGCTCAGTGATGCTGTAGAAGACCTATTACATCTCTTACTTCTGTAACTGATGGATCCTCTGTGGTTTGCATAAGACTCCTTGCGGACAAACCCACCTGTGACATGCAAGTCACACCCTTTCACGGGTGTGTGTCTGTCTCTCTTTCTGTATGTATGTATGTATGCATGCATGCACCCACCCTCAGTAAGGCCCTCCCCAGGGCTCACGTGAAGAGCTGTGGCTGCGTGTGGTGGCCAAGGGCAGAGCCGGACCCGGCATGGCCTCAGCCTGGCGGCCGGGGGAGGGGTGGGAGAGGAGGTGGGGGAGGAGGAGGGACAGTCAGGCCCAGCATGCCACGGCCTTGGCCCAGCCTTTCCCAAATGCCAGGGGCAGAGCTGGACCTGGCACAACTTCAGCTTGGAAGCAGGGGATTAAGGTTAGGCCACAGCTTGGAGAAAAGGGCTGGGGCTGGTGTGGCCTGGGGTGGGAGGGAGAAACGACTGGGGCCAGAGTGACCGTGGCCCAGCCCTCCCCGGTAGCTGGAAGGAGAGCTGGGGTTGCCTACCCTTTCAGATAGAGAGGCTGGCGAGCGTAGCCCCCTACTTTGTAAGTAAAATTATCTTTTTCCATTAAGAAGTCTCGATAAGGGGAAAAAACAAGCAGCAGCAACAACAAAAGGAAACATTTTGAATTTTAGTGATCAGCTCTATTTCTAGAGTGCCATCATTCAGGAATTCCTTGCATAAAGACAGTGCAAATTTAGTAGAATAGTTCTACCTCAAGTTCAGACATATCCTGCGAATTTGGAGGCCAATACAATTTGTGTGGATTTTAGATAGGGAACTCTTTCTCCTACTCCTCCCTCCATTCACCATCTTGGAAGTTTGGTCGCCATTTTAAGTATAGAGCAATAGCTTTTGTTGCTTCTTAGCGAAGAGCTGCTAAAATGCTAAGTAACACTACTATATTATACAGCAGTATTATTGGTGTCGACTGTAACCCTCCAATGGTAAACTGATCACAGATTAGTCTGGTCACATACCAACAAAAGGTTCAATATTGTATTGCACGCTGATTTGTTTTTCAAACCAGAGAAGACTTCTTCTAATATACCTTTTTTAGCAGGCAGATCATATTTTGATAGGTTTTCATCTAGTTCTTTGATGTCCTTTCTTGCTATTGAATAACTGGAAGAGAGGAAAGTATTTAATAAAATAAAATAGGAATAAATCTAGTGCTCCATTTATGAAAAAAGTGACTTCTCAAAATTCAAGACCCTTTATTCACTTTCAAAAATAAGGTCCTTTAGAATTATATATAAACCATCAGCTGATATATGCACTAACACAATTTATACTAGCTAAAAACAAACTGCCAGTCCTCATTTCCAAAATAATAAAAGTGCCCATTCTTTTTTTAAAGCTAAAAATATTTAAAATATTTTTAATTTTTTTTAAATCCACATCATGCTATCAAGCAAAATAAAACTCCACCAAGATATTTTGCCATTATTCTCAATCATGCAATAAGTGAATGTCTGTAGCGCCAACATACAGTAGAAACACAGTTTTATCTCTACATTTCATTGCTTTTGTCCATTTTAGTTAGATGTCATGTTAACAAGAGGTGGGATGTCAAAAGAAGACACATTAGCAAGTGGTATAAAAGAGGGTATGGCACTGAACTGAGCATTTTGGATGAAAAGGACTTAGAGCAGACCTCATTTGATGGAATTAATGCAGGTTATAATGTAACCTTTTATTATATTTCATAATGTAATAAGGGAAAAGTTGCACCTTTACTTTTTTAAATACAAATTTTAGGGCATGCTACAGAGATCTGATCAAGTTTACAGAAAACCCAATATAAAAATAGTCCTTCTAGCTAGATCAATGGTAATGAATCCTTGATTTGATAATAGGTAACCAGCAGAAAACCAATGGGGTAAAAGAAGAGGGAAGTTACTTGTTAGAAAGGAGACTCTGCATGTATAAAGTAATACAGTAAAACTCCATTGGTCCGGTATCCAATGCTCCGGCACTCCTGATGGTCCGGCACCATCAGGAACCCGGAAGTGCTCCGGCTGCTGGACAATTGGAGATGCTCTGCACCCGGCTTCCCCAATTCAGCCGCTGCTGAAACTGACCAGCAATCAGGGACGCCGGGGGCAGAGCAGCTGGGGTGCTGCCGGGTTGGTCCCACAGCGCCGAGGGGCGGGCGCTACAGGACCAACCCTGCATCACCCCAGCTGTTAGGCCCCAGGCATCCCCGATTCAGCCGCTGACTGAAACTGACTTCCTGGAATCAGCCGCTGATCAGTTTCAGCAGTGGCTGACTTGGGGACGCCTGGGGAAGAGCTGGACTATCAGAAGGGGGGGGAGGGGGATATGAGGGGTCTGGGGTGGCATCCCCCACAGCCCACCCCAAACCCCTCACAGCCCCCCCTTCCGATAGTCTGGCATATTTGATAATCCGGCACCCCCTGGGTCCTAACGGTGCCAGATTATCAGAAGTTTACTGTACATCCCAAATCAATGACTGTTTACAAGAACACCTATATATTCATAAGTAAACACGTGCTCCATTTTTAAACTATTTTTCCCAACACAGAACAAGATGTGTGAACTAAATGCAAGTTTGTGTGTTATTATATTATCCAAGTCTCTCCTTTTTTTAAAGGAAAGTACTCTCATGCTAACACATATAGATGCTTTTAAGTCTGAAACAAGATATATTCCACATTCTGAGTTAAATTTGGTTGCTATAATAGGAATGCAGGCCAACCTATAATTACAGCATTTCATGTGAGTTATTCTAATATATTTCTTGTTTCAGTTCACTAACAAAAACTGTAGCAAAATCCCAAAAGAGTGCAAGGATTTGGTGATTACCACAGTGTAAAGTTAAAGCCATAATTTAATTTATGCAGTGGTAGGAGGGAAGATAGTCCTTTTTAAGAGAAAGTAAATAGAAAAAATGGATCAGTATGTTTTGGTAATAAGACATTCTATATTATTTATATTGCTCGTTCACAATAGAATGCTTTAGTAGGCTATTGGTGCATGTGTTGGCCACATCATACGGCCAAAAAGAACAGTACATTAATAGCCTACTCATTCACACCCTGTTAAGAACTATTTCTGCTATTACAATAGTTAATTAATTTTTAAAAACAGGCATGTTTTGTAGGAATATAATCATAGAATCATAGGACTGGAAGGGACCTCGAGAGGTCATCGAGTCCAGCCCCCCGCCCTCAAGGCAGGACCAAGCTCTGTCTACACCATCCCTGACAGATGTCTATCTAACCTGTTCTTAAATATCTCCAGAGAGGGAGATTCCACCACCTCCCTTGGCAATTTATTCCAATATTTGACCACCCTGACAGTTAGGAATTTTTTCCTAATGTCCAATCTAAACCTCCCTTGCCGCACTTTAAGCCCATTACTCCTTGTCCTGTCCTCAGAAACCAAGAGGAACAAATTTTCTCCTTCCTCCTTGTGACATAATGTTGACATTCATGCACTATAAGAAGCAGTTACTAGATTGAATAAGAAAAAATAGCAGGAAATAGTTAAAATATTATTGTTTTGAATATATTTATTGTTTAATAAGGTCCTGCTCTTATTTTTTAAGATTCCCTGGAGTAACTGGACCTTTCTCTCTGATCCGATTATATTAGAAGCTCACATGCTCCTTCAGTAGCAGTTTGTAACCAATAGATACTTTCAATTCACCTATGCTTATAAGTACAGAGTTTGTAAGTTAAAGGCTACAAATTGCTACAAAGAACAGCTGGTAAAACATTGTTTCAACAAACATGCTAAAAAATGTACCAGATTGGCAGACCTTAAGTGAGGAACATCAGGACCCAAGTTACATAATACACAAGTTTTTATAAAAACTTAAGGCCTCTAAAATTATTTTTTGTTTTTTTAAATACAGTGAAAAATTTACAAACATACCTCCCACCAAACATTCAAACCCAATATTGCAACATAGATATGAAGGCCCATGCTAATATATGAAAAACCCCAATGGAGAAATTAATTGGAAACTGTATATAGACTACAAAGTGAGGGGGGAGGGAAGGGAAAGAAATAAAAGGCTTGACTAACAAAAGAAATACATTTTGTTTTAAACAATTATTTTTATTATCTAAGAATACTTAATAATATGGTATGCCCCTCAACGTCCTCCACCAAATGTTAACTCAATTGCATCTCCTAAACATGGAACAGTTATAAAATTCTGTTGATTTTTTGGGAGAAGGAGGGTTATAAGTTGCTTGCTCTTTTTTCATTATAAATTGCAAGAAAATAATGACTCATTGGTTATAAATTTCAACTAAATAGAATCCTGGACTTATCTTTCTATACAAAACTTCTTAATGTATAATTGTATAATATCCACATAAAGACATTTTTCCCACAAATTCTAAACATTTTTCAATACAACACTATTATTAAGAGCATCCTATTACTCACAATTTGGAATCTGCAAAAGATCGAACTAAACACTGGTCCTTTTTCACCGTGATGTCATCATTACAGCTGGGAGATATTACCTGAAGTTTCAAATAAAATACACTGCTTTCAAGAGTTACTATTCTTCTTGCTAAAAAGTAAGACTGTAAATGTTTTCTACTTTTGTTTATTGATATTTCCAATTTCAGAAAAAAAAACAGCAGCAGTTAGGTTTTTGTATACGTCTATTGACACTGTAAAGTCTGTTAATGGACAAACATCTTTATAAATACTTGACCGACATGAAGAAGCTGTCAGACTAGCACTACATCCAACATCATAAACATTCATGTGACAACCCAGCAAGTTTTGATCATTTGTTCCCTAGATACACTCTGAAAAGCTATTCTAAAAAATGGCATTAATTTTTCAGCCCTCGGGCTGTTGCTACATTTCAAAGGCGGAGCTGCGCTTATTGACTAATCGATGCAAATTGTATCGACTATTCGATTAGCCAGTTTAATCTAAATTTAACATAATACATACTGACAGGCTTTTAATAAATCTTGACCTGCACCATAGAAACTGTCAATATCTACTTATTATGGTTCAATATACCAATACTGATTTGCAGCAGGAAAAAAAATGTGTACACAATTAATTTTTCTTCCTAGTTGCATCCAAAAATTGTAGTGTTAAAATTCAGTTAACCTATTGTGACGGGTGATCTCTTTCTAGTTAGTTCCTGAAAAGGAGCACCAAGTAGCCAGGTATATGCAGATTAATTTACCTACAGTAAATCTAACAAGGTAACACTTGAGTCAGTGTATAAAATGTCCCAATTGAACACTCAAATGAAAGTGATTTATAATAATGTGTGGTGTTCTTGATGTAAGGCAACAACATGCATATACTTAAATTGGTCAGTCAGCAACTATAAAAATGTATTACTAAAACTTCCTTTGATGCATATCAGCAATTTTTTTTAGTCCTGTGAAACATCTTCATTTTTAAATTAAAAATAAAAGAGCAATAAAACACTAGGATTATTTTAGATTTCTCTCGTGTTTTATTTGTAACCAGAACTATTCCAAGTCAATTTACAAATGAAAACCCTGGTAGCCAAGCCCTATTATTCATGTCACTGAGCAAAGTTTAATTTGTTCAAATTTTAACAAAAATAATGTGCAATGCACACGTGCATTTTATCTGGTGTTTATGAACTCTGAACAAATAAAAAGGATTAGAAATTTAGTTTTAAATTACTATAAGGTAAGTAGTTCAAATAGATTTGATTTTGTTGAAAGATCAATATTTTAAAAAGTTATATTTTTGTGAAGTATAGGTTTTTACAGAAGTCACAACCATAAGCTTGAAAAAGAGAGGTTACTCACCTTGTGTGTCAACTGGTGTTCTTTGAGATGGGTGCGCCACTGCAGGTGTCCAGGCCCCCATGCACTTATAATCAGAATTTTTTATCAGGAGCATTCCCCCGGGTGCTGGTGCGCAAGTGTTGACTTGCTTGCAATGCAGATAATGTGCTGATGCAGACGTGCCATCAACCATCCCCAATTCCATCTCTACCTCAGAGAAATGTTAAAGCTCCAAAGCAGAGGGGAGGAGGGCGGGTCGTGGAGTATCCACAGGGACACCCATCTTGAAGAACACCAGTTACAGCACAAGGTGAGTAATCTCTCTTTTCTTCTTCAAGGTGTGTCCTTGTGGGCACTCCACTGTAGGTGACTGGAGCAGTAGTCTGAGATTTTTGGAAGGAGGGACTTCGGACCTCATCGGCAGACTGCCGAGAGGACTGCTGTTCCAATGTGATGCATTGTGAACGGTAAGTATCTATCACATGATGTTTTGTAAAAGTATGTGTGGAAGCCCATGTTATAGCCAACATCATAAACATTCATGTGACAACCCAGCAAGTTTTGATCATTTGTTCCCTAGATACACTCTGAAAAGCTATTCTAAAAAATGGCATTAATTTTTCAGCCCTCGGGCTGTTGCTACATTTCAAAGGCGGAGCTGCGCTTATTGACTAATCGATGCAAATTGTATCGACTATTCGATTAGCCAGTTTAATCTAAATTTAACATAATACATACTGACAGGCTTTTAATAAATCTTGACCTGCACCATAGAAACTGTCAATATCTACTTATTATGGTTCAATATACCAATACTGATTTGCAGCAGGAAAAAAAATGTGTACACAATTAATTTTTCTTCCTAGTTGCATCCAAAAATTGTAGTGTTAAAATTCAGTTAACCTATTGTGACGGGTGATCTCTTTCTAGTTAGTTCCTGAAAAGGAGCACCAAGTAGCCAGGTATATGCAGATTAATTTACCTACAGTAAATCTAACAAGGTAACACTTGAGTCAGTGTATAAAATGTCCCAATTGAACACTCAAATGAAAGTGATTTATAATAATGTGTGGTGTTCTTGATGTAAGGCAACAACATGCATATACTTAAATTGGTCAGTCAGCAACTATAAAAATGTATTACTAAAACTTCCTTTGATGCATATCAGCAATTTTTTTTAGTCCTGTGAAACATCTTCATTTTTAAATTAAAAATAAAAGAGCAATAAAACACTAGGATTATTTTAGATTTCTCTCGTGTTTTATTTGTAACCAGAACTATTCCAAGTCAATTTACAAATGAAAACCCTGGTAGCCAAGCCCTATTATTCATGTCACTGAGCAAAGTTTAATTTGTTCAAATTTTAACAAAAATAATGTGCAATGCACACGTGCATTTTATCTGGTGGTTTATGAACTCTGAACAAATAAAAAGGATTAGAAATTTAGTTTTAAATTACTATAAGGTAAGTAGTTCAAATAGATTTGATTTTGTTGAAAGATCAATATTTTAAAAAGTTATATTTTTGTGAAGTATAGGTTTTTACAGAAGTCACAACCATAAGCTTGAAAAAGAGAGGTTACTCACCTTGTGTGTCAACTGGTGTTCTTTGAGATGGGTGCGCCACTGCAGGTGTCCAGGCCCCCATGCACTTATAATCAGAATTTTTTATCAGGAGCATTCCCCCGGGTGCTGGTGCGCATGTGTTGACTTGCTTGCAATGCAGATAATGTGCTGATGCAGACGTGCCATCAACCATCCCCAATTCCATCTCTACCTCAGAGAAATGTTAAAGCTCCAAAGCAGAGGGGAGGAGGGCGGGTCGTGGAGTATCCACAGGGACACCCATCTTGAAGAACACCAGTTACAGCACAAGGTGAGTAATCTCTCTTTTCTTCTTCAAGGTGTGTCCTTGTGGGCACTCCACTGTAGGTGACTGGAGCAGTAGTCTGAGATTTTTGGAAGGAGGGACTTCGGACCTCATCGGCAGACTGCCGAGAGGACTGCTGTTCCAATGTGATGCATTGTGAACGGTAAGTATCTATCACATGATGTTTTGTAAAAGTATGTGTGGAAGCCCATGTTATAGCCCTGCAAATATCCCTGATAGGCACATTGTGTAGGAAGGCCATAGATGTGGCCATCACTCTAGTGGAATGTGCCCGAAGGTAAGTACAGAGAGCCAATTTATTAATATCATAGCACTCTTGGATGCAGTTGTCATCCATTTGGACAGTTTTTGTTTGGAAACTGCATTAGAATGGTCTGCTATTGAAACAAACAGTCTGTAAAGATTGCCTAAATTGTTTTGTTCTATCTAGGTAAGAGGCAATACAACACCTAATGTCCAAGGAGTGGAGTCTTGCTGTGCTGGCATCTGGGAGAGGCTTCTGGTGAAACACTGGTAAGTATACAGGTTAATTGAGGTAAAAACATGATACCACTTTTGGACAGAACATTGGATGTGGTCTTAGTACGACTTTATCTTTGTGGAAAAACATGATACCACTTTTGGACAGAACATTGGATGTGGTCTTATTCCACAAAGATAAAGTCGTACTATCGTAAATGGTGGATCAGCCATAAGGGCGTCTAGCCCACTGACCCTTCTGGTTGTTGTGATTGCTATCAAGAATGCCACCTTCATGGAAAGGTGTGCCAGGGAACATGTTGCCTTGAGTTCAAATGGAGGACACGTCAACGCATGTAGGATTAGGTTGAGATGCCAAGACGGGACCACCGGTTTTATTGGAGGGAAGGCTTTATTAAGATCTGTCAGGAATTTCTTGGTGGTCAGATGAGAGAAAAAAGTTTGGTCGTCCACCATGTCATGTTCACTTGATAGAGCCGTCAAGTGAACTTTAATGGATATTTGTGTTTTCAGTGCAATAAGATATTCCAGGACCATTGCCAGCTGAGTTGACTGAGGCTAAAGTGCTCTATGGTTGGCCCACTCGGAGAAGTGTCACTATTCGTAAAGGTAAGTCTTTCTTGTGCTCTGTTTGCAAAACTTAAAGATTATCCTTTGTACTTCCTACGAGCAGGTGAGTGGCTGTGTTATTGACCCTGAAGAAGCCATGCCATGAGATGAAGTGTGCGCGCTTCTGGATAGAGAGCTCATCCCTGGTCCTGATATACTATGTCCGGCCATCATGGAAGAGCAACTCACCTTTGTGACAGGTAAGGGAACCAGGTCTGTCTGGGCCACACGGGTGCTATCATGATCACCATGGCCCTGTCGTGTTTTATCTTGTGTAGGACTTTTCTGAGGAGGGAAGAGACAGAAAGGCATATAATAGGTTGAAAGACCAGTTGCTCAACATGGCATCCCCCATGGAGTCTTTGCCCAGATCCGCCCTGGAATAAAACCTGGGGCACTTGGTGCTGAGTGATGTGGCGAATAAGTCTATTTCCGCAAAGCCCCAAAGACTGTTATGCAGGGCTTGGGGGTGTCTCTCCCATTCTTTATGTGACTAGATAGGGTTGGCTGATGGAAAGGAACCCCCAAGCAGAGATTGCTGTTGTGTAGCCACCACGTGAGGGATTCCTTGACCTTGTTTGTAGGACTGAGCATCCTCTGTAATGGGTGCTGTGAGGGCAGAAGCATGTGTGTAGCCACACTTGGAGAGTTCGCATGTGTAACCTTGTGTGAAGGACTACATATGTCATTGCTGACATGTAGCCGAGTAATTGCAGGCATTGCCTGGCGGATACAGTGAGGCTGTTTAGGATTGTTTTTGCTGGTGAAGCTAGGACATGGAATCTTGGCAGAGGTAGCCGAGCCTGTGCGTGTATGCAGTCCAGTGTGGCGCCTATGAACTCCAGCTCTTGAGATGGTGAGAGATTTGATTTTTGCATGTTTACTTGGAGCCTCAGCTTTGCAAAGAGTCTGATTGTGTCTTCAGTGAACTGCTTGGCCTGATGGTCCCTTGAAGCTACTATCAGGCAATTGTCCAAGTAAGGGAAGATTACAAAGCCTGATTTTCTTAGATGGGCCGCTGCTACTGCCAGAACCTTGTAAAAGACTCTGGGTGCTGCTGACAGGCCAAATGGTAAGACTCGGTATACTGATAATGCTGAACCTTTAGCGTGAACCTGAGGAACTTTCTGAGAGATGGTCGTATTGCTATGTGAAAGTATGCGTCCTGCAGGTCAAGGGACGACATCCAGTTTCCTCTTCCCAACACAGGAATTATCTTTGCCAGCATTACCATGGTGAATCCTTGTTTTTTTAGGTATTTGTTCGGTCTGCAGAGGTCCAGGATGGGTCTTCATCCCCCAGACTTTTTTGGTGTGAGAAAATATCTGGAGTACAACCACTTTTCCCTGGGATTTGCTGGGACGCTCTCTATTGCCCCCAGCTGTAACAGTTTATCTCCTGTTGTAACAGGGACTCGCAAGAGACGTCCCTGAAGAGGGATGGGGAAGGGAGTTGGACTGGGAAAAATGGGAGGAATGGTATTGCTAGACCTTCTGCTATGCCCTCTAGAGCTCAATTGTTGGTTGTTATATTGGACCATGCGCATAGTAGAATGGTTGCAGACTGAATTTGTACTGGTTGAACAACGTCAAACCCTCGACCAACAATTCAAAAAGTTTCTTTGCCTTTGGAGGACTGAGGTGTTGCCTATTGGTCTTGAGGCTGCCAGCATTTTGCTGCCTCTGATATCATCTTAAATCACAACCCCCCTCAGTTGGATAGGAGGAGGATGTCGCTCTGCCACAGGGTGTGTACATGTGATTTTCTTCTTTGGTTGAGGGATGTACATCCCCAGTGTTTTTGAAGTGGCCCTTGAGTCTTTAAGGGAATGCAGGAATGAGTCCGTGGTGGAGAAAAATAACTTCTGACCCTCGAAGGGACAGTCCTCAACTGTGTTCTTTACTTCCCTAGGGAACCCAGAGAGGTGCAGCCAGGAGACGCGACACATCACTACAGATGTGGTGAGAGATCTAGAAGCTGTGTCAGCCATATCAAGGGATGCCTGCAGCACCATCTTTGCTATAAGGATACCCTCCTAATATGTTTAATTTAAATGTGACCTTGCTTTCATCATCTAATTTTTCAATAAAAGGTTTCATTTTTTCAAAATGGTTATAAGAAGTCTTTTTTTTTTTTTTTTTTCAAACAAAAAAAAGAAGTGCCAGTACTCCAGGGGAAAAGTTGTTGAGCTCTGACTGGAGGTGCCAGTACTGCATCTGGAGGTGCTGGTAGTGCGTACTGTGCAGTACAGTCACAAAAAAAAGCACTGGTTATAAGTGTATTTGGCCAATAATGCCGAATAGTATGCAATAGTATCCCTGATAAGGAGGGATGCTGATGAGTAAGATTTTCTCCCTAGGAGACGAAGTGTTTTCCAGTTTTTGTCATACAGGGTAGATTTAAACTGGGTCTGTTAACCCTGTTGTTGGCAGCATCGATGACCAGTGAATTCAGGGTGGGATGTGTAAACAGGAACTCAGCCCCGTCAGCCGGGACATAATATTTTCATCTGCCCTTCGGCAGCATCGATGACCAGTGAATTCAGGAACTCAGCCCCGTTAGCCGGGACGTAATATTTTCATCTGCCCTTCGAGGTGGATAGAATGGAAGCTGGAGTCTGCCACAAAATCTTTGCCGGGTCGAGTATGGCCTTGTTGATCGGCAAGGCTATTTTTGCCAAAGGCTAGGCTTGTAATATACCAGCCAGTTTGCGTTGAGAATCGGGCACCCCGACCAGACTTATGTTGAGGGAGTCAGCCACCCTTATGTACAAGTCTTTAAAAGACTTAAACCATCACCCACAGTAGGGGGCAGAGGCATAATGGATCTGTCCAGGGAAAAGGGGAAGGGATAGCTCAGTGGCTTGAGCATTGGCCTGCTAAACCCATAGTTGTGAGTTCAATCCTTGAGGAGGCCATTTAGGGATTTGGGGCAAAAATCTGTCAAGGATGGTACTTGGTCCTGCTGTGAAGGCAGGGGACTGAACTTGATGATCTTTCAAGATCCCTTCCAGCTCGAGGAGATAGACAATCTCCAATCATATATCATGAAAAAATAGGGAATGGAGGTAGTGAATCCTCTAGGGTTTCAGCCATGTTTTCAATGTCGTCCTGCATCACTTCTGATGCTGCAGGCAAAGGTGGGTTGGGTGTCCCTGGTTGTGGTCTTGGTATCACCCATGGTAGCACCTGTTCCTTCATGGTGTTCCAGAGATCCCATGCCTGCCAGGGTTGTGGGAGTGTGATGGGAGGGAGCCATTGGAAGGGCTGCCACATCTGGGTCTGTACTAGCTGTTGCTGCAACTGTGAGGTTGATTTTGGAGTAAGTGACATGGTGAAAAAGGGACCTCCTGGTCATCCTCACTGTTGCTGGAAAAGTGAGGTATGGAGCTTGCAGGCCAATCTACTTGGGCCTGCTCATGATGGGGCAGCATTGGTGCTGAAGAGCAGCATGCCCAGTACCGATGCGACTGCTAACTCCTGCTGCGTGATGAGTCGTCAAGGAGGAAGGAAGGCCATGCAGAGGGCTGTGATTGCTGTGACACTGCTTCGTCATGTGCCTTGGATGTCATTGGCACTGGGGAACCTTCGAGGAGTACAGTCTGCATCGATCTGGTGGATGTCTGTATAGCTAGTTCCGATTGCCCTTTTGCCAGAATCTGTGATGGTGTTTTGGGTACCGATTTTATCGGTACCGAAGCCTTTGGTATCGACAGTACAGAGGTGGTCTTCTTCATCTTTGGCACTGAAACTGCAGGGTGCGTATCTTTGGATGACACTGCCTCTCGGGGTTTGTCCATACCGGACTTCCCCAGTACACTTCCCCTGAAGCCCTTGCCCTAGGTGAAGGGGGCTTGTACTCCGGGGATGTTTTCTTTGGTGGTCTCTCACCCGATAGTGAGGAGTGCTTTCTCTGTGCTGTCTTTGCTGGCTCGTCTCTCAGTGCAGCTCCCTCCAGACTGTTGTTGGAGATGTATGGGGTAGTGGTATGGTTAAGAGGTTCCGAGGCAGGTATCTCCACCTTCCCCATAGTGAGGAGCTTCAGCTGGAGTTTCCTCACATTTAACGACCTGGCCAACAGCTTTTTGCAGTGATGGCAATTTTTTGGAGAGTGGTCCTAGTCCAGGCACCTAATGCACTGGGGTAAGCTCATCTGAAATGGGTACAGACATTCTGCATATGAGGCACCTTTTAAATCCTGGCATGCCTCTCCTAACACTACAGTTAGGAGAACTGTGAATAAACTACCTAAAATGCTAAACTCTAAATTACTGGGAACAACTACTAAAAACTACTCTAACTAAATTCTAGCACGGAGCACAACTGTGTTCCAACCAAGTCTGGAGTGGCTAAGAAGGAACGGAAGGGATAGTTGATGGTGCATGCACATTGGCACGTTCACTACATTGTAAGTGGTGCTGTGCATGTGCACCAGCACCAGGTAGGAAATACTGTTGCTAAAAAGTTCTGATTATAAAGCACAGGGGTGCCTAGACACCTAGGGTATGTCTAGACTACACCCCTCTGCCGGCAGAGGGATGCAGATTAGGCAGGTCGAAATTTCTAATGAAGTGGGGATTTAAATATCCCGTGCTTCATTAGCATAAAAATGGCCACCACGTTTTTCGGCACGGAGCTTTGTTGGCGAAAAGCGTCAGTCTAGACGGGGATCTTTCGCTAAAGAAATCCTTTTCCGATAGATCCCTTCGGCCTCGTAAAACGAAGTATACAGGATCTATCGGAAAAGGATTTCTTTAGCGAAAGATCCCCGTCTAGACTGACGCTTTTCGCCAACAAAGCTCCGTGCCGAAAAACGTGGTGGCCATTTTTATGCTAATGAAGCACGGGATATTTAAATCCCCGCTTCATTAGCGATTTTGACCTGCCTACTCTGCATCCCTCTGCAAGCAGAGGGGTGCAGTCTAGACATACCCCTACAATGGAGCACCCACAAGGACACTCCTCGAAGAAGAGCAAGTTTTAACACTTCTCAGAATATTGTATAAGAGGGAGCAGCACGGGGCAGTTGGTGAGCGAGTGGAGTTGCTTTTTTTTTTTTTAAAACTCGCTCCTCTTGCGGACCAGCTCCCGCCTGATACCCCACTCTGCTGCCTCTGATACAGAGGCAGCAGCGCAGGGGGTTCCTTGGGAGTGAGGCCAGAGCACACTGGCTGCCAACCCTGGGGATTATAGAATAGTCAAGTAACCGATAAGAACTCACAAGGTTAATCGACCATTCATTTAACCAATATTTAACATCCCTATTCCAAACCCCAAATAATTTGTTGTCCTTTTCTAAACTTTTTCCATTGCCAATATATCCTTTGAGATGAGATAGGGAGTCCTGAGTTTGATAGCTAACCCCAAGTCTTGCTCCAGGAGTTGCAATATCTGCAAGTAGTGCTGTTCTAGAATAGAGGGAGGAAGGAGCAATAGTGCAAAGTCACAAGAGTAGCGCTTGGACACAGACTCAAAACACACTTTTACTACCCATAAAACACAAATAAATCCCCCAAAATATAATATTCTCAAGACATTATACTGGGAATATCGCAATCATCTGTTACTTACCAAAGCTGGATACCAGTCAGTCTTCTCTGAACAAAAAATTACACTCACAACTTTGCCAAGCAGTTCATCATTAAGACGTCTCTTATCTTCTTCTTCCTCTTCACTGCTTTCTTCCTCTTTTTCATCTTCAGTGCTAGAGGATTATGCATACAATATTTTAAACAGTCTTAATCTGAAGATAAGAATTGAGGCAATATAACTCATAAGAGCAGCAGTAAAGGGTCTCTAAAATTAACTTTTAAAAGCAAAAAGTTGAACCAGAAAAAAACTGAAATAATACAAGAGCATAAATTAAATAAAAGAAGTTTGATTTGCTGAAGTTCCTCTGTGCTCACAGTAACCATGATTTGTATTACAGTAGCCCCAGGAGTACTAAGCATGGAAAAGGATTCCACTGTACTATGTTCTGTACAAACACAGAACAAGCAAACCTGACACTTCCATATGTACAGTCTTTCCAAGTTTAAATGTCTAAGCATGTTAAAAATTCTAGGTTTACTTATAAACCAAACTTTTTTTCATAAAGTTTAAAATGACTACATTTTAAAGCTACTGGCTGACAAAATTACCCTTTTTCAAATGTATACTGAGACTATATTACATGACAAAATAATGACTTTTCTCTCTCCTACATTACTCTTTTTAGTCATTTAAAGAAAAATCCTGTCTGCTATGCACACATGAATAGTCCCTTTGACTATTAGCAAAGGACACTAAGGTAACAAAATAGCACATACTGAATTATAAAAAACTCACACAGGAAGAGAAGATCTTCTTCCTCTGTTGGATTTCTTCCCAATTACTGGAGTTCCAAAGTGCTCTGGATTTGTTAGTGGCAGTTGGTCAAGTGTCTAGGAGAAGATGGGAATATAAATCAGCTTGCAATTCTTCCACCCTGTAAAGACATTTACTTTCCAGCTTGAAAAAAAGTTAACATTTCCTTACCTCGCTTTCTGCAAAGTGTCTCTCCCCCTTCAAGCACAATGAAGTTCGTCTCAATGTCCTCTCGTCTCCATCATCAAAAACTAGAATGAAACCGGAAACAAAGATAGTGGCACAAGATTTGCAAATGTAACTAAATGGCCAGTTTGCTATTCAAAAACCACAAATTAAATAATCCCGTAGAATATGTCTCTGAAGGACTTAAATTAAATTCTTTGGTTACAAGTGGGAAGAAGTCTAGTGGTCAAAATCTGGGCCAAGAGAGCAGCCAAACATTCCAGCACATGGATTCAGAGTCACTGCAAAGAACAGGCTGTCAGCTGCAACAATCTCAGGGTTTGTCATCTCTCTTATCAATACACTGCACTCTAAAGACCAGAGATACTGGCTGGCTGGCTGCCAATTATCATTCTCAACCAACATCACCAGCTGGGCTAAAACACCCAATTATTTCTGATTTATGCTGAGCCAGTCTCCCAATTCTGCTTCTGTTACCATGGGAAACTTCAAGCAGGCAACTGTCCACTTGTATAATGTGCGGGGAAATGTTGCTAGTGGACAAATATATATGGAAGTTTTTGCTACAATATAAAATACTGTGCAACATACAGGAGAACTGGAAGTGATAGTCTGGCCATCTCTGTTCTACTCCCTACTTGATATTTTGTTAATCTCACAAGTCAGAAAAAAATAAATTTATATTTGTAATATCTGGCCAGGAAATAATGAGGCTGTTACAAACAAGTACTCGGGTACGCTGGTAGATATGTATGCTATTCCTAATCTCATACAGTCCTGTTAGTCCAACCCTATTAAAATTCAATTAACAACTTCTTCCAGGAGGGAATTTTACCTCTAAGATAGCTCTTAAGGTTGTAAACAGCTCGATATCTATGAGAGTCACTGTACACTTCGCTTTAATTAAAATTTGTAAAATCACAGACTATCGATTGAAGTGGAATGTATATATTTTAGTAATTTACATTCAGAAAGTCTGATCCTAAGAAGCAAACCATCTGATCAAACCACTATGCAAATGCATAGTTCAAGTGACTTCCAAGAGACTTTACACTAATCTAAGAAGCTCATGACCTGGATTCAGTTGCAGGATATGTATTATGTTTTTACAATATTAAGAAGAGGTTGTCTACCTCATAGCCAATAGTTACCATACACTCTAGATAGGTTTCTTTTATTAGTGTAGTAACTGTGGCATTCCTTTTACAAGAAAAGTCTCTTAGTTTTCAGTTTCTAGTCTTAAATTAGGCCGTTAGAACATGGTGATTTCTTTCTTTTTGGTTAGCACACTAGAATCACATGGGAATAATTTAAATTACAAATTTTGCTTTATATCTTGCTTCTGAATTTCTAGTGATGTAGAATAATGTGAATACAATATATCTAAGATGAACACATATGAAAAGGACATATGTCCTTTTCATATGTGTTCATCTTAGATATATTGTATTCACATTATTCTACATCACTAGAAATTCAGAAGCAAGATATAAAGCAAAATTTGTAATTTAAATTATTCCCATGTGATTCTAGTGTGCTAACCAAAAAGAAAGAAATCACCATGTTCTAACGGCCTAATTTAAGACTAGAAACTGAAAAACTAGAAATAAAGAGCAGGCTATGTAAGCACTCTCATAGCAGGCCTACTAAGCTTGATAATTCGCCTATCTGTAGTCTCCCAACTGAGCTAGTTTGATAGAAGCTAGACAATTGGTTCAGCTTGTTATATTTGTTCTTATAAACTACTATCAGTTTTAAAACAGTAGGCAATTCTGCTCCCGAACTATCTTTAAGAATAATCTCTCTCAAAACTATTAAGATACAAAGTCTCCAGACAGTAGCTACAAAATAGGATTTCCTATTTCCTTCCCAAACATATCACACTAATCGTCTGCTCATCTGAGGAAGTGGGTTTTTCTCATGAAACTATACATTTTTGTTAGTTTATTAGGTGCTACTGGACTACTCATTGTTTTTAAAGTTACAGACTAATATGGCTAGCTCCTCCTCCTCCTTTTATTCATGTAATCTATTTTAAAAGTTTAAGCTCTATTACCTAGTTTCCCTGAAAAGCCACAGTACACATTTTGCTCTTTGACTTTCACATTATTTCTTATCAGGTGTTTTGTTTTGGAGGGACAGGGGAGGGGCTTGGGAGTGCACCAGCAATCAGTATTGTTTGCATAAAGAAAGTAAGGCCTTGGTCCCTCTTCTCCTCCCACCAGATTCTACGTGTAAATTCAAAATGCTGAATTTATCAAAGTGGCCATTTCTAGGGCAAAAGTGTGATGTTCAGCATAAGATAACTTCACCACAGCATCAAAGTAGGACATGGCAGTGGACTGCAAGAGAGAAAGCATGTCTAATTTACCTGATATTTTGGAAGCTAGATTTTTAGAAAGAAAATCTCTGTCAAACCAGTCTGATGTGGGGGGAAAAAGAAACTCCAAGTTTTACATAGTACACACACACACATACATATAATACACATCATGTGAAGCATACTGCTATTTGTCGATTTTTAACACTGCTACACTAGAGCCAGATGCCTGAGAGAGCTTTCATATTACATTTTAGGAGCTAGTAGAGGATGCTCAATAGTCTAATGTTCTGCAGCCGTACAAAAGAAATCCTATTTCCTTCCCAAACATGTCACATTAATCCTCCAATTAACTATTCAGCTTTCATTTGACTGTGAAGACCAACAACATCTCAACATCCATCAAGAACAAAAAAATCCCAAAAGTTAAATACTGAGAAAATTATAACCAAGTACATAAAATATAGTTTATTTAATTTAAAAAATAAAAAATAAGACCTCTTAGGCAGCTTGACAAAAAAAGGAAATAATGCGAGAAAGAAATCTTTCCTCAGCTAGAATCAAACACCTCATTTAATATGTGGCTCAGGAACTCAAATAATCCATCCATATTCCCTTCTAGTAAGACAGTGAAAAGTTATCAGAACTAATTTATCTTTGTCCTCAGAACTTAAAATGTCTCTTACATGGGCAGAGAAGCAAATCTCCTCCCATACTCTTATAAGCATAATAATGGAGGCGAATTAATATGTTGAGAGAGATCTGAATGTCCCTCTCCATCTTAGGGTACATCTACACAGCAGCATTATTTCGGAATAACTGACGTTATTTCAAAATAACACAGCGCATGTCTACACAGCAAGCTGTTATTTTGATATAATGTTGAGATGGAGGACTTCTTACTCTGACTCCAGTAGCCCTCATTTCACAAGCAGTAAGGGAAGTCGAAGCAAGATTGTTTTTCCTTCGACCTCCGGCTGCGTAGACAGCAGCAAAAGCCGAATTAAGCTATTTCGACTTCAGATACGCAATTCACATACCTGAAGTTACATATCTTAATTCAGTTTTTGCCCTGCAGTGTAGACATGCCCTCTGAGACCTTTTCTATAGCCCCTATAAGCCTCCCAGCCAGTCACCCCTTTTTACCACACACCTGGACTCTCTGCTATAATGAACTCTCACTGATAGAACTAGTATTTGCTACCTCTACAAAATCCCTATTGCCAGCTACAAAAATGGCTCTTTCCAGCACAGCTATTTGTCTCTTGCAACAGCAAGCAAGTCACACTGTGCAAGCTGCCAGAAGAGAAAGACTGAGCAAGCACTAGGATTTTCAATAACATCCACAGCTGAAATATAGTGTAGCAAAGAAAGTCAAGATTCCACCCATTCCTCCCATCACCACAGTGAAGAAAAGGGTAGGAAGAAGAGCAACTACCTCTGAAGGGATAAAATTATTTGGATAGCTCTTCTTTCCTCATCCCCCTTCCATACACAGGCCAACTGGAACAGCTAGCTCTGCACTTCAGGAAGGAAAGACAAAGATGAATGTCACGCCCTGCCACCTGAACTCTAAGCAGGCCAAGCAACTGGTTTAAAAGTTAAGGAAGACTGTGTATGCCTGTGACAGAGGAAATACATGGCAGTCTTAAGGGTGTATGATCCCTTCATTTTAATTAAAGCCCCAAGTTCCATGTTCCATTTTTATTCCATTTCTGCATACCTAGGACTGAAGATTTTTCAAAACTAAAAGAATGTGCAAGTAATGTGACCAGAGACATATATAAACAAACTACGCAAAGATTTATGCGGTCTGTCTCTAATCTGTGGCATCCCTACACACGTCTGCTACACAATACAAAGGATGTTTTTACACAGAAATTACAAGACTATATTTTGAAATACCTAATTTAATATCAGTAAACTAAAGTTTCTGTAAATATCGTAATTTACAGATCATTTAAAAAACGTAAGAATAAACAAAGGATGTTAGCCCACAAGGACTGGCACTTCACAGAAGGAATTTTCTGTGGATGAGACCAATGGCCCCTATAACGGAGACCATAGATGAACAATTCAGAGGAAAGCATAAAACTTCCATTAATGCATCAAAGTGAGCAATACAAAATAATGAGGATACATTTTCCCTAGGGATGTAAAATTTTGATCAGTCGATAAAGGTGCTTCTGCCTTTGAAGTGTAGCAACAGCCTCAAGGCTTGAGTCTCTCGCTGGTCCTGTGCTCCCTGCAGCAGCGCCAGGGGACCAGCTGATCTTGGGCACCATGTGGCGCTGCCACTTTGAAATGCCGCGGGGAGCTCAGCATCGGGCTCCACACAGCGTTTCAAAGCAGCAGCTCTCCCGCTGACCCCAGGCTCCACGTGGCACTGCTGCTTTGAAACACCACATGGCCCCAGACTTCACATGGTGCTGCCACTTTGAAGCAGCCCTCTTCTTTCCCTTCCCTGCTGTCTCTTTCTGATAGAGGCAGCAAGGACGGGTAGCAACTAGTCGACTAGCCTGTTGACAATTCCGATAAGCATTTGCTTATTGGATAGTCAACTAGTCGTTCACATCCCTAATTTTCCCCTGTATTGCTGAAGTTATTCTCACTTACGAACAATAGTCAATCCTCCACTGAATCTTACTAAATTATGGGCTAGAATAATATCCTGCAGTAACAAATTCCGTGAGTTAATTGCACTGTACAAGAGGCTTCAACGTTATCAATTCTAAATTAACTGCC